CACTATGAAGAATAATAAGTGTGTAGAAAGGAGTTATACCTATAGAACGAATGGTATTATTGTGATTTTATATATACTATTTATAAATATATATTAACTAATGTATATATATGGTATATGAAGCTCAGGACTATATATAGAGGCGACTGCGGACCAGCCGGCCAAAAGGTACAGACGCACTCGTGGTCTGTATCTCATTGGTAAACATGTACTCATATATGACTCCTAGAGCGGGAGATGAGAAGCATACTGAGGCAGGCTGCTACTTACGCTGCCCCATACTGGTATTGACGCAATGCTGGTGATGCAACCGCCTGAGAACAGATTTGCATGCATGTTGATGCTGCGAGAAATGCCTCTTGGTTTCATTCAATATTTGTGATTCATCTTATAGTTTCCCAATAACTTATGAAAATCCCCCCACCCCCACCCCCATCCTTAGGCCCACTACTGATGCATTTATAAGGATATAACCCACATGAGTTAACTCCCTACTACCTATTTGCAGCTAGGTAAACATAAACATCAGGTGAAAGGAAATGGGACTAACCGTCCCTATCTCGCCTGAATCGAATCATGGATCTTCAGCTATAAGAGAGAGAGAGACAAATGTACAAATAGGCTAAACGACCTCTACAGTAGTCTAGTATACTCTAGTTTCCTTGGTATATATCAGTGATATGCATATATGCATATAGCGAGTGTCTTGACTTCCTGTGTAGCTGATAATTAGGAAAACATGCACGAAATTCTTGTTTTCTGAGTCACACCCAGCAGTCCCAATATATTTCTCTCTCTCTCTCTCTCTCTCTCTCTCTCTCTCTCTCTCTCTCTCTCTCTCTCTCTCTCTCTCTCTCTCTCTCTCTCTCTCTCTCTCTCTCTCCTTGTTCTTCTCGCATTCACATTATATCATATATTTCTTTTTCACGGAGATTGTGAATTTGGTTTTGAAATCGATCCATATCACTTTCCCGCTCACTATATCCTAGTCTGTCCTGGATTCTTCCTCCCCCGTGCGCGTCGTCATTAGTGGTATCCTCATTTATTAAAATATTAAGATGCTATCTTATTTTTCCTTCCTGCTTCTATCGTGGTTGATGACATGTCAAACATACATGTTGTTGTCTATTTAACTTGTAATAATAGATGCGAGTGACATGACTTATGTAAAATGGATGATAGGGTATAACAAAGTGAATATAATATGTTAAATATATCAACACGAAGCAATGTATATACATTAGATACGTTTAGATTTTGGAACGCCCTGGGTAAATACCGGTTAATGTTGATTTGTCGAACAGATTATCTTGTAACATAAGAGACGTGTGTTCACTTGATTGTTTCAGGCAGAGGTTAGACATTATATATATTTATATCTTAAATATATAATATAATGATATATATATATATATATCTGGTTAGATATAAACAGGAGCTGCCTCGGAGAGGTCAATAGGCTTTTTGTAGTTTCCTTAATACGTATGCTATCGAAGGGTGCTGGTTTGCACGATGTGAATGCGACCTGTTATCATGGGAAATTGTAAAGTCCTGTGGAATACTGAAGCATTTATTAACGCAGATATCACGTAGTGGGATGTCGTTATCTTTATGTAACCACTGGATGCTATCGTGGCGTGTTGTCATTTGATATCACGGAGGCTAACATTGCCTATTTCCATGTGGAATAACACTGGGAATTATCAAAGACGATTATGTGCTATTAGTTATCTTGTCTATATATTCTGTAATTGCTAACCTCCATATCGTGGATAATACCACAATCACTTGAACCATAGGCGCCTTGAAAAGATGTTGATTAAAAATACTAATGAACACGCGATATTACAACCAGGATTAAGTGTCTGAAATAAGAAAGGTAGAAAATTATTTTCTAAAATTGAAGTGTAAGTAAAGTAGGATTTTTATTACGTTTGTATGTGGTATTTGTGTGACTAATGCCGAGTTCAGGTGTTTTTATCTACAAACACCGGAATATAAAGCACGAACACATATTTCTTTATTTGTTTATTTGCAAGAAGGTACAATGGGTTGGGGAGATTGCATAAGACTGGTACATTCATGCAAAAGCCACTAACATACAAAGTGGAATGAACACGTTATCTTGAGATGATTTCGGGGTTTAGTGTCCCCGCGGCCTGGTCCTCGACCAGGCCTCCACCCCCAGGAAGCAGCCCGTGACAGCTGACTAACTCCCAGGTACGTGGGGAGAGAGAAGGAATGGAGGAGCCAGATTAAGTGACAGACGAAGGGAGGAATAACTATAGAAATTGATAGACAAAGATTGATGGAAGAACATCCAGAATTATTAGATAAGCTAATATGTATTAACACAGAAGGGAAGAATAGGCATCATACTGGTCAATTAAGGATATCCAGATGTATTAGATAATTTAGGAATAGCCAGATTTATCAGAAGAGTTAGGAAGACGGGTGTATTAGACAAGTTAGAAATGGCGAGATGTATTATGGAGAAAAGTAGCCGTCTTTTAGACAGATAAGAGAGGAATGGTTTTAATTATTAGATAAGGGTGGAAGAGTCATATCTATTGGACAGATATGTTTGCTTAAAACTTGTAGCGCCTCTTATTGGAATGCGTAAACACAGTTTGTGGTGGTGGAATGGTAGGCTACGTCGATGTCACTTGTGATGTCCGTGTTGGTAGTATGGTAGGCTACCTCGATGTCATTGGCTCTCTGCGCGTGGATGAAGGTGATATCATCTATCGAGACTCGAATACACAACTCATCCTAACCTTTCACTAGGAACTTTCATCAAATCTATGTTACTAGAGTCCGAGAAATTGTGCAATTATTGGGGGAAGTACACTGAAGCTATATTCGCGTCACCCCCGAAGTCCTCCAAGAACTTTTTGCTTCATGCCCAGCGAGACAGGAAGGAAAAAAATATATTATAACATGTCAAGTTTTGACGATAAGGGCGCGGCGAGAGCAAAAGGGACCTAAGTCGCATCTCTTGTTAGGCATCGTTACCTTTGAATTCGAAGGGATTCGTTGTCAGATAGCGATGTTGGTAACGATTAAGGATATCACAAAGAATTCACACTCACGTGATGCGTCAGTGAATAAAACAGTTGGAACAATGCTGAGGATTCGAACCTTCGCTCACATAGTTCAACTGATTTTTTCATTAACGACATCATCATCATGCTGAACTTTGTTAAGGTTTACAAATTAATACATTGATCTACTAAATCATTTCTTTTGCTAATAGAAAATACAATTTGTTGAGCTCTTAGGCGAAAAGCACCAAGCCCTTACGACAATATAGAACTTAGAATGGATAAGGATTTAGGATAGGATTGAAGAAAGATTTCTACACATTTACTGACAGCTTAATCACTAGGCCAACTGCAAATCTCCTTATTGCTATCGCTACATCCATCCCACACTGTAATACAATTTTCTTTTAAGTTGATTTTACGAATCAGACCGATAAATTCCTGAGCTTTTGTCTTGAAGACGATCTTGGGGTCTACGACGCGCAACCTTGATGTGTTAGTTAGTTAGTTTAGTTCATTTATTATGCACCCCATACCCATCTTGTGGGCAGTAGTGGAAAGGGTTACAGAGGCACATAATGGGCTAAGGGACTGAACCCCACAATTCATTTAGCTAAGCAAGTTACAATCTTGATGAGCTAGTTACAAAATTCAATATAAGTCGTCACATCAACAATGGGTTCGAGATCGACCTCAAGTACAGGTTCTAAATTAAGCAACTGACATATGTGGAGAGCTAGTGTCACAATTTATATGTTTGTCCTGCACACCGCCCCCCATCCAGTGGGCAGCGGTGGATAGGTTACAATCACCTTGATGTGTTGTGATCGTAGATCCCATACACTAGGCATCTTCTACCTTTGACTCGTCGGTAGAGTTAAGACCTCTGTACTTGTAGTGGAAGTTTTTTGTGGTTTTAGTTCATTTTCTACCACAAACGTGGTCATTCATTTATGTATTGGTAACCAGCATATATCCATTTTCTTCTGCACTCCATGGGTAGGGTTTGAGATCTGTTCTGTAATAGTGTAGTTAGTCATTTGAGCACTTAACCACAGGTGATTGTAGTACTTTTTTATAATGCTAATGGTCCAAGTGGTTGGTTGCTGTTCTTACAGTTCATTATATCCCCCCGGCCTTTATCCTCACATCCCAGATCCTTGTCCTCTTATCCCAGCTTTGTTCTAATATCCCAGTTTTCTGTCCTCATATCCCAGCTCCCTGTCCCCGTATCCCTTCCAAGTGCTATATTGTCATACTAGTTTGGCGTTTTCCCTGATCATTCAGCCTGTCCTCTTAAGGTTTCCCAACGTAAAGAAAACGGTAAAATTACGATCAAATTAAAGTGTCCTCTCCTAAACTGAGGACCCAAAACAGAAAACGGGACAATACGTCACTTTCGCGAGCCGCTACCATTTTTAAGTGCGACAATTTTTATCTTTATGTAACGCATACGATCAAAAAGCGACGTTCTTTGTAAGTGGACACGTTGTGTCAGGTTTTCTAAGGGAAAGTATTTGATGATTTCATAAACTCGATATATAGAGAATCACTAGTTTAAATATAGAGGCGTGGAATGTTCCGTCAGTTAGAATTATTGAGTCAAAATTTATAACCAAAAGTCACACTGCTAGTTGATACCAAGGAAGTAAATTAGTATACTGAGGCCTGAATCTGATGCTATCTTCCTCTTATCTTGAGATGATTTCGGGGCTTTTAGTGTCCCCGCGGCCCGGTCCTCGACCAGGCCTCCACCCCCAGGAAGCAGCCTGTGACAGCTGACTAACACCCAGGTACCTATTTTACTGCTAGGTAACAGGTGCATTCCTGGAAACTTTGTATGCAGTGCTCCTCTATTTGTAAACCAGTTCAAGCTTCTCGACCCAACCTCCACGTGCCTAACTAACTAACGACTGAGGAGGTTAACATCTCATTTCTCCACATTTCTTCCCACAGGAGTGAGGATGTGTTGTGCTCGGGTGGGCGGCGTCGTGGGCGTGGTGGGCGCCATCCTCCTCCTGCTGGGGCTGGTCCAGGTGGCGTCGGGTATATACTTCCTACTGATGCTCCCGATCTTCCAGCTGGGATCCAATATATGGACTGGAGGCTGGGTAAGTAGGCTTAATGGCTCCGAGGCTTGTATGGAGGGAATCGCATGCTCTCCAACGCTTGGTTATCTTTTCTGCTATTTTTGTTTATATAATATGTATTATGAGGAAAATCCACAGAGAAATGTGTAAGGAAGTGAACGTTTCGGCCTGTTTAAAGCCGTTGTCAACACCAAACTGACGTTTCGACTGGGGGGTAGACATAGCCTAAGCTACTCTATCCCTTTGAGATGTATTTCTTTCTTGTCTCAATAAACATACTTGAACTTGAATTGAACGTTTCGGCTTTAATCAGGCCGAAACGTTCACTTCCTTTCACACTTCTCTGTGGATTTTCCGCATAAAAATGATCAGTGTTTTGTGATCGTCAATTGCATCAATATGTGTTATATAATAATAAAACCTGGGGTTTGGGGTTGTGCTTACGGCCTGAACGACCCTCTCATCAACCTTCTGGAGGGGCTTAGTAAGACCCTTATGATAACTGATGTTCAAACGGCATTAACAATGAACTGTGTAAGCAGGAAGGTATATTTAAGGTGTAGCCCCGCTTCTTAGTGAGTATACACCGAGAGTTTACTTTATTCTTGGACGATGTTTATGACTAAGGTATACTTGTTGGTTGGTCAGTAAGCTGTTAAGGTGATCTTTAATGACCCTCCAGAGGTTGATAAGCTTTAAGGACATCACCAACATTCATTATGACAGCCTAATAATCTCTTAAGTCGCTGGGCAGCAAGCCTAATAGGTCGGATCTACTTTTAAAGAGTTTCTATATACACTATGTACAAAAATATTGTTGTTCCTCCATGTATATATTGAACACCGAGAGTGACAACAGCTCTGGTGTTCCCTGTTCATTAACACCAAAACCAATCACTAACTACACAACCTTTAACTTTTCCCAGCGTAATTACTTCCTACTTGAAAACGTTTCTCAACATTTTCAAGTAAGTCCATATATTCTCATTACATTAAGTCTGATTCGATTAACTAAGTCAGGGATTTTTTAAAGTTGATAAAGGGCATGTGAATACCTTATAATCTATCTCATGTGCGTTGTCTATAATTTCAGAACTCGCCTTGTTCATCATCGATCATTTTCTCGGTAATTTCCTATATTCCACCAACCACATTCCTGATATGCACTTCGGGCAAACATCTCCATAGAAATTACATTGTTTTCCTTCTTTTGTGTATAGTAGTATAATCATAGCTATTTTCCAATCCCTTTTGTACATTTCCAAAATCTCGTGTATTTAGTTTAGTCCGTCCTCCTAAGGTTTCTCAAACTCAAGAAACTGTCGTATTTAAGTGTTCTTTCCTAACCTACCAGAGGATCTAAAACAGAAAACGGGACAGTATGACAATTTTACGAGCCGCTACCATTTTCTAGTAAGATAGATTTTGGCCATAGGTAGAATCTACGTCAAAATGAGACGCTCTATTAGGAGGACGGGTTAAAAGGGGTTGCAAAACTTGGGTTCAAGATTATTCTATTTATCCAAATAAAGTATCCATATTCCTCGAGCTAACCTGATATATATCTCTCCCATGAAACAGTCCTGCTTATGTGGGCTGATTTTAGGTGTGATAGGATGGAAGAAGCAGACAATGCGACGTGGCCAAGTGGTCCTAGTGGCCACACTCAGTGTCCTGGTGGCCAATGTGGCCAACCTCGTCATTGTTCAAGTGAGTTTATCCTCGTGTTTCCTCGTTTTCTGTTCAAGGTTTAGGTGCTATCAATAAGACTTGTTCAGTTTGTTTAAAACTTTATGCTAATTTAATAAGCTGTAATGTTTAGTCTAAATGGGGAATAATGGTTTGTTGCTGTTTGATTTTTTAGTAATGTAGTAATTCTATTAGATAATTATATGCATAAATATATTAGTGTGTTTATTATTAAACTTTAATTTCGAGTATGGGTAATTTACAGCATCAGTCAAATATTATTTGTATCAGTTTAAAACGTTATACTTTACTCATTGTAATGTTTACATATGTGTGTTTAGTCTAGATTAATAAAGGTTATTTTATATGATGTAACACAAGTTTTTTTCATGAGTGAATTAAGGCATAATGTCGCAATTGTTTAATGAATCTAACGCACCGGACAGGTTGGCGAATTCGGAGTCTTCCTGACCTTAGACGCGAGGAGGACTATTAAGGAGAAAAACTTGGATATCACCTTGAAAATAGGTCAGTGGTCACCCCTGAGGAGTAGCGTCAGTCCTGTGTATGATCAGCGACGGTGATTCAATGTTAATTCTCCCTTAAAATTGTTTTCTGGGTTATTTCGGGCAATTATTGCTTCAAGGGGAAAATATAAGTCGTCAGGTACATTTTGTCTGGGAACTTTGCCGCGTCATGACCCTTTGATATATATATATGGATGAATTTAGGCGGTTGTAATGGCCTGTCTTCATCAACAAAGGCTAAAAGCTCGTTAATCCAGCCGCCAAACCTATTTTTTATGAATGAAAAACACTTTACATGCGATTCACAACTGATGATGTATGAACTTTTCTCAGACAGTGCTTCGTTCACGTTCTCTGCTCGAATCTCCTCTATAAACGCTTCATTTTCGTACTGCAAATAATAATTGCCAGCAGAATTTAACCAAAGTTAGGCCTAACTATTAAACACACTACAGTATGTACTGTAATATAAAATTATAATTTGGAAAAATACAGATTTTTGAATAGGTATTACAACCCGTTCTCAGCCCAGGGTCGTTAAAGCAGCAGCCGTCTCTTAAGACGCATCCATAAATTTTAATGTGTTTATTAAAAAAAAATCTCACGTATGTTATTATTACATATTAAAGTTCTACGTATAGTTAGGCGTAGGTTAGGTTAGATGGTTTAAATTTTGTTGGCGATAATTATTTGTATTTGAAGTACGTGGGTGAAACATTTACAGCGTTGTGATTCGAACAGAAATCGTCAGCAAAGCCCTGTTAAAGAATGTTCAAATGTCAGCAGTTGCGAGTCTTGTGTAAAAGAGGATATACTTTCTAAGATGTGTATGTCTAAAATGTACATGCGGAAAATAGTCAAATATGTAGTATTTTTCCAAGTATTTATTGATATCAATATTTATTACGTGGCTGACAATATTGTTTGCTTATCAGTTATTCTCTCTACTATATGTAAATTAATGAATACAAGGAATAAGATATACAAGACGGTTTGCTAATGGATTTTATAACCAACCCAACCAAGTCTAACACAGCCTAACCTAATACATCCTAACGTAATAAATCCTAACTTAATATATCCCAATACATCCTAACCTAATATATACGGGTTTAGTAAACAGAAAATGAGCTTTGTCGAACTGCCTTGTGTACGAGAAAGTCACCAGGAGCCATGTGCGTCTTATGTACGATTTGACCGAATAACTATTCTCAGGTTTCAGCAGTATTTCACTTATCATAATCTTGGTCCTACTTCCCACAGCATTCTGGCTGCCGACCGTGGTCACCGCAGTCGGCATCGTTATCAACTTCTTCGGCGCGCAGTACCTGTTCTGCGTGGTGGTACGTGGCTCCAAGGTGAAGGGTCGGATGCCCGTAACCCGGTCTCTGTCTGAAGAAGGTCTGCACCACCGTCAGGTACAGACTACCAGGTTCCAGTCACCGTGCTTGACCGCCTCCAGTAACCCCTCTTGCGACGACCTGACCCTTAGAATTGCAGATATTTATGGTCGTGGTGGTGGTGAGAATGTGCATGGCTTCCAAGCTGGTGATGGTGATAATGGTGTTGGTAGTGTCGCTAGCGTTGTAAGTGGTAATGGTGGTGGTGGTGGTAAAGGGAATGAGGGTACAGAGGCTCCACAAATTCAAATAGATAGTGAAGAGGTACAGCAGCCTAAGACGCCGGAGAACTGCGTGCCTTATTTCTTGAGGAATCATCGCTCAGCCTGGCAGTTTATCCTGCCAGAGGTGGTGAAGGAGATGAGAGAGAGCCAAAGATTTAGCTGTGCGTACAGCGACGCCCCCTCACGCACCTCGACCCTCTCAAAGGTCTCCAAGTCTTCATTCCAACCCTACAGGCCTGCTAACTACTACCCTCCTTCGGAAACAGATCGCCCTTACGTTCTAGGATCTGATCAACATCTGAGGAACGGGCAGTACAGGATCTCCAGAGCGCCCTCTAGCTGTAACACTTCGCTATACTCGTTGCCAGAGAGCTGCCGCCAATTTAGTGCTAGTCCCAGACCCTCAGGAAACCGTCTTATTCGACCTGTTGCGCCGCCTCCTGCGCCTCCGCCTGTACCTCCTACAGCGTGCTCGTCCGCCAATCTGCGCTCCCAGGCGACAGGTGGCTGGGAGTCGTGCGCCGTCATCCAATATCCAGCTCAGGCCGGCGGTGGCTTCGTTGTTGACTTGGATTAAACAAATTGGAACAGTTGATTGGTTGTAATATGACTGCTATCTAGCCTTTGTAACTGACGCTGCCTTGACACGTATCCGTGATGCGATAAACTTCGTAGATTTGTGAAATAAATATGATTTAAATACCTTTTAAAAAGTAACTAACAAAGATTGTGGCAACTGTGACTTTGTGTACTTAAACAAAGACATATTTTGTGGTGGGCCAGACGGGCTTTGTTTCTGTCTTTCCACATTGGACATACTTTCTTGCCCTCAAAACTTGGCATACTGTACTGTGATAATGGGGCCAAGTTGTGATATCAGAGGTTGTGTTAGTGTGAACATTTTTTTCCCCAATAAGCGAGTTTGTGACTGAAAATATTTCGGTAATTCTACTTAGTGACTGAAAATGTTGAGATATTCCAGTTTGTGACTGTTGAAGGTTGTGACAATAACTATGAAGTTGGAGGAGCATTATCACCAGTCACAGGAAATGTTATGACGTGATGCAGTGTGATAAGGTGGCACCCTTTAACCTTCCTAGAACACAAGTTACACTCATCCTGCTCATCCTGTGCACACGTGTGTGTGTGTGTGTGTGTGTGTGTGTGTGTGTGTGTGTGTGTGTGTGTGTGTGTGTGTGTGTGTCCTATGTCTGTCTACGTCTGTCTGTCCATTACAGCCTGCGTGTCATCTCTCACGCAGGGAACAAGTTGATGTTAAATGCTTGGAAATGTCTGTAAGGAATATCTGTTATAGTGTGTGTGTCGTGATTAGATTTTAATTACTCCATTAGACCAGTATCACGTGACAGGGTAACATATACAAGTATATGGAATGATTCTCTTGTTTTAGTACACTTAAACTGTTACCTCAAATGTAAGGACAAATATATTCAACCTTATTCAGCTTTTAAGTGTTATACGACAAATTAAATATGTAACTATCATATCATTAAACTATATTTCATGAAAATCAAATATGTATTTATATGCAATGCTATTACCAAATTAATTGTATATAGCTATTAAGTATGCAACTACCTATATTCATTTTATATCATTTTTGCAATGCACACCGTAGGAGGAGGGGAGACTTATTTATTTGACAAAATACATACCAGATGAAAAAGTGCTTGAGTGGCCTAAGAGCCACGGAGGATAAATCCAATCCGGTACCTTAAACCCCCACAAGATAAACGTTCATGACTATAGAAAAGTAACCTAGAAAGCCCATGGATGAAAAAAAACATCGTCTTTCTACAACTTTCTGCCTATTTTTAAAAAACATTTTTTTTAATTGATATCCAACTGCTGTTTTCTATGGAATTTATCGACAAGCAGGAATTCGATAATACTTTGGTTGATGGGTGGCGGAGGAGCTATAAGACTCGTTGCCGGTAGCAACGATTGGTTTATTGTAAAGCTTATACTCATGCAGACGAGGAGTCACAATAACGTGGCTGAAATATGTTGACCAGACCACACACTAGAAAGTGAAGGGACGACGACGTTTCGGCCTGTCCTGGACCATTCACACAATCGACTTAAGAATGGTCCAGGACGGACCGAAACGTCGTCGTCCCTTCACCTTCTAGTGTGTGGTCTGGTCAACCTATACTCATTTTCTGCGAGTGGTAGCGTTACAGAGATACAAAAGGACATCAGCAATTCAATTTCTTTCTTTATTATGCTACCCATCCCGTAGGCGGTGGTGGAAAGGGTTACAAAGGCACGCAATGGGTTCAGGAACCCATTGCGTGCCTTTGTAACCCTTTCCACCACCGCCCACGGACATCAGCAAACCCCAATATGTATGTTAAGAGTGTCACAATTTCCATGTTCACTTTATACACAATTATGACATTCCTGGTAACAAGAGGCATAGTTTGTATTGTAATTACTATGTATAATAATAATGTAGTGTTGCATATTAGAGTAAAATAATTTAGGGATTAGATTTTACACGATAACAAAGGTATTGTTTACATACTAAATGAGTTGGCCCTGACTTATAATAGCTTAAAATTTCTATACATATATTTTTATTTTATATATAGGCAAAATGTGGAAACAGCGCAAGACTTTCAGGTATTAAATCATTAACAATAATGCAGGGTGCTATTTCATACAACGTTAGTCTAGATGTAACTAAATAGCTCAATTCTCACACTAAGATATAATGTTCTAGTGTGTGACACTAAATGTGTGTACAAACTTTGCACATCAAATTATCTATTTGAAGTGTAAAGTGAACAATTACTCCCACATTCAAGCTGAACTGCCTGATATGTATGAATACTAGTCGTAGTTCATTGTCTAAGTTTCCCCTTTTTAAAGACGACTGTACAGTGATTAACTAGTCCCGGCATTACTGTAACAAAAAATAAATATTTACTTAAATATATGGTTTTTATCTTCGGGCAGGACATCTGGGAATTCCTTTAGCACTTAACAAGTTTTATCAAAATCTTAAGAATTAGAAATGGAAGGTAAAAATTACTTCAACTGCTGCCTTGAAGACTTTTTCCTTTAAACCCTTACATAGCTTTCCCGGTTTGGTACCTTCTTTTGATACTTACTTCCTTTAAACCCACTCTTGTATCCCTAACCTCACCTTTTCCATTATTTTTAATAGATTTAAAACGAGAATCACGAATAACCAAGGCAGTTGAAGCATGTCAATAACTAGCTTGGAGTTACTCAACTGTTGTGGGTGACACCCTGCCGAAGGTCAGCAAATGGACCTTGATAAGCATAATGGACATCCAGACCCCAACTATGGGACTACACAATAATACAAAATAGTCTTTCCCAAAAAGTATTTATAAAAAAGTTAGTTGGTGCACCTTTATTGAAAACAAAATAAATCTTGGTTAAAGTTCTTTTTTTATTTAATCAAATGTATAAATAGTGTGTAAATATTGTAAATGTAATTTTTGTCACCACTTCGGAGTGACTAACATTTTCATGTTAATTAAATACAGTTCTAATAAATTCCTCAAGGATGTTTAACAACACCTAGCTCATTAACCCCTAATTAATTCCTTAAGGATATCTAACAACATTTAGGTCATTCATTGACCCCCTAATAAATCCCTCGAGGATATCTAAAAATGCAGGTAATTGACCCCTAATAAATCCCTCGAGGATATTTAACAACACGTGGGTCATTGCCCTCTAATATATCCTTCAAGAGTAATTGATAGCACTAAGGTTAACGACCACAAACAGTTCTTTCAAGGTCAACTAAGGACATTAAGGTCATGCAATCGTGTCGTATCTAACAGCCGGAGTTTCCTAACGTCAAATTTCACCTAAACGTTCAGATTTTTAACGAAGTTTGTGTGTAGAATAATAGATATGTTCCGTTTGATATTCATATGCAAACTAAACTAATTTATTAAACTGATTTGATCTAAATTTGTCTCTTATATCTTAATTCTGCCTATCATAGGCATAACTAAGCTTAAGGGAATTTGTTAATGAAATTTATATAATCATTTCATTAAGTGTAGAATAAATTTTGCACAAATATGAAAAACAAAATGGTAAATTATTATGAATTATAATAAAATATATATATATTGTTAAAACTGTGGATTAACTAACGTTTGAATGGATGTTATGTATTCGATGCAACTACACGGAACGTAAATTTCCAGTAACACGGGATATGGTGTACTTGTGGACTTGATCTATCGGAAAATGACTTAAATTAAATATACCAAATATACCCAGTTTAATGCAAGCTTCATGATGTTTGTGTAAACTTCATATTTGTAAAAAATTTGTATCAAAAACTTAGAACATAAATATTAAACAATTTTAAAGTGTAATTGTCCTCACAACTTTGCATGTTTTCACTTCAATGCTAACCTGATAGGCATGTTGCTACTATAATTGAAATACTAGAGGCACACTTTTAGAGTCTGGCGCAATTGCGTCTGGTGAACCATGATAAAATAGTTTAGACATGATTTGTCCTTGCATTCCTCTATACAAAGCATATCCAAACGCAAGTGATGTCGCCAGGCTCCACCTGCATCTAAAACTCTCATGGTAACAAGCATTATGGCTGCACACACACACAAATGGTGGTAGTGGTGGTTCGTGGTAGTGTCGATGGTGGTTGGTGGTAGTGTCGATGGTGGTTGGTGGTGGCGGGTCGCTGTGGGGATGGAGTGAGAGAGAGGCATCAAGACAAGTCCATCGCCGCGGAAATATTGCATGCATGTGTTCCAGGGGAGGAAGCCTCGATACGCACATGTCCCCCGCCAACCCCTCTGCATGTGTCCCCGCCTTGCATGACTTGCACGCCCTCTGTCTCATGCAACTGACAACAAAGGTGAGCAATTCATCTTTTTGTTGTGACTTGATCTGTAAGAATATACTTGTTTACCATTGCTTTATCTAGATGAATGTAATTTTGTGTCTTAATTACGTTAAATAACAATAATGCAGTTGAAGCTCGAATACATATGAAACCATAGGCGAGTGTGTTGTCAACATTGGAGTGTTTGATAAAACTCATAATACTGAACAATCGTTAACCAAGAGTGATGTAATCTTATGAACGTATTTCCTAGGTGTCAGTCCATTGGTGTTAGGATATTAACATAATAAAAGCAATAGTTTTAATTTATATAAATATATTACTGTTTTATTTCATATTGAATATGTAATATAATAGAAAATCTAATAATTAAATTTAAAAAATAATGATAGCAGATACGGCAATAATAACAACTGGAAATAATAATAACAATATTTTTCCTGGTAAACAATGGTCGTCTTATCTGTGTTTACCATGGACATCGCAGCTTGTACAGCAAGACAAGACAATGTAGAGCACAATAGTAAGCGGATAAGAATGATTTGCAGCCTCGAGTGTCCTTGGAATATGTTGATCAATGGCATCGTAACACTGGGCTTCCCGCCCAGACTTCTACTGATGTTGCGCCGGTTCTGGCCGGTTGTCTTGCGTAGTTTGTGTTCCTCATGTGAGGCCGGTTGTGTTCCTCATGTGAGGCCGGTTGTGTTCCTCATGTGAGGCCGGTTGTGTTCCTCCCCTGAGGCCGGTTGTGTTCCAGCTCTCGTGTGTGTGGGTATGTAGGCACAAGGGAAGGGAACTATCAGGAAAGAGTGCTAAGCCATTGCGACTGTATAGCACTTGGAAGGGGTCAGGATAAGGATTTGGGATGGGACGAGGGAAAAGAATGGTGCCCAACCACTTGTGGACGGTCGGGGATTGAATGCTGACCTGCATGAAGCGAAACCGTCGCTCTATCCTCCAGCTCAAGTGGTTGGGCCGAAGTGCTCTGTTAATCCTAGTTCTGGCCTGTATCCCAAATGTCGTGTGAACACATGGCTCTGACGCGTGTCCCGGCTATCATAATAATAATTTTTATTTAGGTAAGGTACATACATACAATAAATTTTTACAAAGATTGGTTGACTTATAGGTAGAGCTAGTACATACAATGCCTAAAGCCACTATTACGCAAAGCGTTTCGGGCATAAAAACACCTAAAAACCTGGCTTTCTAATCTAATCTTCCTGGCTGGTCATCTAAACACCTGGCTTTAAACCAGCGGTCACCGAAACACCTGACTCTGGCACATGTTTCCCGTAATTGTGAGCTGAGACGTGATTCATTTTCGTTTGATCTTAAATATTCTTGTCTATAAACAAAACCAAAATATTTTAGTTTCCCATTGTTAGGTGGAGGGAGGAAATCTTGTTAGGCTTTCCCCTTCCCCCCCCTCTTGAAATCCCCTGCTCTCCCCTGCTCTACCCTAAGCAACAACAGACCTAACTGTGTTGCACCCCACGATGCAACCCCCACAACAGTTCCCTAACTCCCGGCCACCTATTCACTGCTTGACGAACAGATCCATCAGGTGATAGGAAACGTGCCTATATGTCCTGCCGCGGAAATCGAACCCGAGATCTTACGGTTGAGAAATCATGAAAAACGTTAATTTAAAGTGTCCTCTTAAACCTCTGCGCGTACGCCGGATCAAATTACTTTTGTGAGTGGATTTCATTTCAAATTACCCCCAAGTCGAATGAGCTGGAGTGATCCTGTTATGTTCAGCTTGATGAGACTGATATCTCTGTTCACTTCCGGTAACAGCTTTTGGATAAGGTTCACATGTTCGAAATTGAGTAAATTTAGGAATTAAGGATATTATTCGGTAGAAATCATCTCTCCTGATGAAGTCGTATTGGTGATTAGGACTTTTTGTTTGTGATTGGGCTTTTGTTTGTGACTAGGACTTTGTTTGTGTGACGAATTTAGTTCGAGCTGAGCCTTTTGTTTGATTAGACTTTTGTTTCATTAGACTTTTGTTTGATTAGACTTTTGTGCTTAGGCTTTTATTTGCTCTTAGGCTTTAGTTTGTGATTGACTTTTCTTTATGTCCAGTAAGTTTTCATACAGCTGATTAATCCCATTTGATCAGGAATAAAATTATTCAACAAATATTCAATTCCCAATTTCTTTCAAATTGAAAAAAAAACGCAGCAATTGGGGGGGGAGGGGGGATCCTTGACAAGCCGTCGGCTTCCTATCCCTGTCGAGGCCACTAGAGAGAGACAGCGAACCTCAAGTATATTCCGGTAAATGTGTATACAAACAATGACAACTGGAGACACTTTAATATGTATACTAATAAATAAATAGGTAGATATATACACATGTGTGTCGAGTGGAATACAGAATGATAAACATTAGCCATACGAGAGCATGTACAATACATGTACAGTACTGTACAGAATACTTATTTTGTTTAATAATTACAGGAGACTCATGATGCTACGCCATCGCTGGACGACGTTGTTGCTCTTCCTGATCCCGCGGGGTCGTCAGCTTGGGTCTACCACCCCGAAGAGGACAAGAATCCAACTCCTCTCTACCCGATGGGACTCGATCTCCTATCAGACTTCCCCGACGGTTCCCGAAGGCTACCTGCCCGTCACACCTCTCTAGTAAACCCACGATACGCACGCGTTCACCAGCGACCACAAAGGGCGCAGAGTTTTGTCATGCGACGGGAACTACAGATCGCAGAGAGCCATATTCTGCGTCCTCCACCTCCTGTAGCCTGCCCTGAGCCCCCAGATTCTCTCCACCCGTCTCTCTACTCCATGACGCTTGGCCGTCGAATTCATCGCTCGAACTCCGTCAGCGGAAGAATGTTACTTGAAGGCAGCAACAGCGGTGGAACAGCTCTTAGTCGCAAGTTCCACGCCTGCTCGCTGGATGACCTAGATTCTGGACCAGTATTTGAGGTCGGTATGATTCCTCTCGAACGAAGTCGATCAGAGCAAAGTCTGACCGCCATCGCCCAGGAGACAACAGCAGCTACCGGGACCACTGCCCTTGTACATCGCTCGTCGAGCGTTCAAGAGAGACTTCTTGATGGCAAGACGGTTCTCACATCTTTCGGGCCGGTAAATCGTCCAATAGCTCGTTTTACAAAGCCCAAGGGCCCGGCTCCTCCTCCCCCTACAAAACCCAAGCCCACTTTTCCATCTGTTACTCAAAGTGGTCTTAAGAAAGATCAAAATGAAGGGAAAGACTCGTGCGACGCTACAACATCTATTACAACAAAAGACGCTGAACAAAAAGCAGAGATCACAACAGCGAACAATAACGAAGAACCACAAGGTGTTCCGCCAGCTCCTGAAGAAAATCTCAGAGATCTCCGATTGTCAACAGGTAATACCAAGCGAATGTCAACTCTTGAGCGACACTTACCACTCCCGGTTATTGAGGAGAACATTAAGAACACGCGAAAGAGACCAGCTCCTCAGCCACATATCATCATGCCCTCTCAATCTGGCGACGAACCTTCAAGAGAGGGGGCGACAACCCTCCAAGCGGACAACCCGAAATCAAAACGACCTGAAATTGTCAAACCACCACGACCATCCTTAGCGGAGAAACCTCTTCGTCTGGTTGATAGAAATATGACACTTGCGCGTCCTTGCCCTGTTCAAAAGCCTGAAAGAAAACGGACCGAAAGTGAAAATGCTGCAAATCTGCGAAAGCTTGAAGAAGTGCTTACGAATATTCTAGAACGCGGATCGCAGGCGCCACTTCGAGCAACCAAGTCGGATGAAAATATAATGGAGAGTTTAAAGGCTTTCGACACAAAAATGCCGAAGAGTATTTTAAAAAAAGGCTCAAGCAAGCCTAGCAAATACGAAGTTGCTCACCGGGAAGCGCTGGAAGACTCAAAGCAGCTTCTGGACCAGTTGCCGCGAGGCGAACTTCAGCGAAATAAAATTGTCCTTCGCGTTCCCTCCTTCAGAACAGCTGGCTGCCAGACGGAAGCTTACCGCCCGGTGCGCCGAAGAGCATCCTGCGCCCAGACCAATCTGAGCGTAGCGCCGCGCTACAAGGAGAACACTACGAGCACCAACACATCTTCGCGAACTTCCCCACCAGAACGTTGGGCCAAACCAGAGCGACGAACTGACCCACAGGTAAATTCTGGGCAGGAATCGTCGTCGTCGTCTTCAGGTTATTCGTCGCCTGAAGTGGGCAGCAAAGACCCGTCTCCAGCCCATTCAGGCCCTCCGTCTCCAGCTTCTTCCTCATTGGTTGCCAGCGACGAAGACGAAAGAAGAACGGGAGCAAACGTCACAGTCATAGAGGTCAACAAGAGCGAGACACTGCCAGCTCGGCTGCCACATTGGCACAGTCCGGACTCAGTGCCGCCACCTCGTCCGCCCAAACCACTTCGTTTGCGCCACATGTCTGACGCAGCGGCATTCATGGGCAGTCATGGGGGTCTCCTGGTGCCAGTGCACAGAAGGGCATCTCAGCTTCCATACGAAGACGTATTTGGCCTGGCCGCTCTCACCGAGAATGTCATGCTCCTAACAGAAGCCATCAATCCCGTATTGGTGCATTCCTTGAGACGCACTGACGCAGCGGAAAGCTCTTCCACGACGCCACGAGTCGTAGACGTCATACGAAAAGCAATGCAACCGACCATTCAAGACGATAAGCCATGGGACGGGCGCACGACAGTCGTAGGCCGCCCACGAACTGCCCTTCGCGCCCATAGCCTATCGCTTCCAAGACCATCACTCGCCCATCCGTCACGCACGCGACTAAGCAGAGATTCTCGTTCGCCGTCGCCCCCAAGGAACGACGACCACAGCCACCAGGCGCGACACGACACAGGCCCATCGACAGCTGCATATCTAGCTTCGCTGGAGCTTCTTGCCTCACATTACCGACACCAAGCACTTGCAAACGCTAAGGTAACTTCCCTCTGGCCCGCAGTACTATACAACCATGCTTACCTCTTTTTTTTATTAATACCGGCTCTCTGGCCGCTAAGCTCTTAATTGTAGTCTGGTAGCCTTCATACAAGCCGACGTTTTCTCATGATAACATCTTTGGTGAATATTGTGATACAGACAAGTTCCATTCCTTGTCTTGTATGTAATGATCATGAATGGATGGTGGCAGCATTTCGTCTTCTACTATCTACTCTTCTACTTCTACTATCTACTCTTCTACTTTTACTTATCTACGTCTCTCCCTCCACCCCTCTCTAAACTCTCACTTTCAACTAATGACCCTCCTCGCTCCTCCCACCTCCCTACCTCTTACCCCAAACCCTCACTAATTACTTCACTATTCATTTCTTTCCTTTCGTTTTCTCTTATACGTTTGTGGCAATGATTTCGGTATTCTAGAGTTCTCTCTAGAGTTTCGGGTAACTGATCAAGTGACGGCGCCTTGTAGTCTTAGCACCTAGGTAGTCAAATACCTAGGTTACAAGGTGTTGAACGAGAGAGGTTGCCTTAGGAACTCTGGGAGTGCTCTAGAATAGTTAGCTAACTGAGGACGGGATAACGGACTAGAGAGAGCTGTTTCCCCCGGCCTCGTTAGTTAACTGGGGGGTGGAATAATGGACAAGATAGAGCTATTTCCCCCACCCCCGTTACAATGATGGCAGCGGTGTTGAACAATGTTTATGGTAGTGTTCATTTAACATTGTTCAGTCCCACGTGTCCTTTTGCCGCTCAGGCGCTATCAGGGAGATCTTGACAGGTGTTTAATATTCGCGAGTTAGCGTTTTTTTCAGGTTAGGAGATAGTGATTTTCTGACGATGTGTTTTAGTGAGTTTGTGAGTTTTGTGGTGTTCAGGGAATGTTCACCAGAACTTGCGTGTGTAGTGATTTATGTTAGTGTTAAGATTTGGTGATTTTGGAACTTAGCGGTTGGTGGGTAGTGGAGGTCACCTGAGTGTGACAGGTGACCTCGCATGTCCCACGGGGACACCCAGCCACCGCTGGTCTCCAGGTCAGTGGGGAGTGGCAGGTGTAGTTCTTAAGTAGTTTAAGTGTGGTTCTGCTCAGATTATTGCGATCGACTGTTTTACTCCATTTGAACGCAATAACCCGAGGTGTACTGGTATTGTACAGCATGCTAGTGTGGACTAGTGTGTCAGTAGACTTCACGTTGGGGACGCTCGACGTTAGATAGTCTGGTCACAGGGGTGACAACAGTTTGGGAGTTGTTTACCGGCGGAGAAGCTAGGGAAACACTCTGGGTCACGTAGGTGGCTGTAGGTTAAGGGTGGGAGTAATGGTTAATTATGTACTTAAGATTAGGAACGGTACAGTTAAGTTTAGGCTAGTGTTTTGTCTATTAGTGTTGATTTTTTTTGTGTGACAAGTTAAAAGTAGTGATGACCTTATTCTCTCTTCTCTAACTTTACTCTGTTACTGTTTTATGTTCCACCAAGTCGATTTCATTCAGAGTTAATTGGATTATTTAAAAAAAAAAAAAAAAAAATTGAAGTGTAGTTGTTGCCAGGAGGAGAGCGTTATGATATAACTGTGTAACCCTATACAAACTACAGGGTCACACAACAGCATGGAACACGGGTATTGTCGCCTTTATGTTCATCCACAGGTGGGAGCCAGAGGAGAGGCGCGACGCATATGCAGAAGAGGGAGACGGCTGCTGTGTACCACACTCACGGGCGTTAATCACCACCACCACGACCAGCCCACTACCTGGAGGTCACGGCTCCACCACCATCACCACCCCAGGGGACCCCAAGATGCAGCCCTCTCGGTCGGTCAACATTGGTCTACCCAGTGGACCCCAAGACGGACGGACCCCAGTGGACCCCAAGACGGACGGACCCCCAGTGGACCCCAGGTCGTTCTGCAGACGTCCCCAGACGACCCAGTAAAGATGGAAGAGGAACAACAACGACTCCAGTCTGTCCCACCAACATCGGTCTACCCAGGATGGACCCCAGGACGGACGGACCCCAATGGACCCCAGGTCGCTTGTCAAAGACCCATGGGAGGAGGAAGAGAGAAGAAAGAAGAGAGAAGAAAGAAGAGAGAAGAAAGAAGAGAGAAGAAAGAAGAGAGAAAAAAGAAGAGAGAAGAAAGAAGAAGATAAGCCAAGCTGAGACACGATACCTAGTGTCCCTTGCTGGTGTCAGCATCATTGCATGGAGCGTAATTGCAAGACAGGATCGTTTGCCTTAACTGGCCGCCCCTCCTGCAAGCATGTTGCTCTGTTGAGTGATTCTTCCTGTGTCATGCAGACTTGATGTGGCTGTCAGAAGTAGCTCTCTGAAGGAGGCGTGCTGGAGCAACAGGGAGGAAGAAGAGTAGGATGGGATTTCTACTGTTGGCAACTATATGAAGGTCTCGAAACTTGTAGTCCCTATAGCTGTGAAGAACCCCAATATACGTCTCTCATGGTGACTGACGTAGGGCCAATTACAGATCAGCTGGGACAACCGAATTCCACGGTCCTGTGCGCAGTTCAAGTAGTAACGGCTTTCGGGTTGACCAAGGGTTGTTGTGCGTTAACGACGGAGAAGCGACGGAGGCAGTTGTGTTGAAGAAATGTGGTACAGGATTATCTACAAGACCAAGCAGTGACGTCGCCCAGCCAGAGACAATGGACGTCTGTCTACATATTTAATTTTTTTAGAGTAGGATGATGTATATTTGTTTAGCTAGGATGTATTTTTTTTTCGTTAATAAAGTTGTTGCACACAGCTAGCTTGCTTTAGCAGTGTTGCAAAAACTTTATTTCGGGGAGAAGGGGAGATGTAACACTGTAAAAGTGTTTGGGTTAGTTTATTTATAATATATATAGAGTACATGAGTCACAGACAAGGATCTGAGAGGCGCCAGTCGTCTGCCTGAGATCTCACACCTCAAAGCGTTAATGACCTCAAGTGACCTGAGGTCAGATCATGAGAATTTCACCTTGCTTCCGCTAAGCTCTTAATTGTAGTCTGGTAGCCTTCATACAAGCCGACGTTTAAGGAGTGGCTTGGTAGTGCCGGAGGCTATCTATTTGTGGGCGGAGTTAGCTACTAGGTTCCCCAATATAAACTCGGAGAGCTATCCAGAAAGCAGCATTAATCAAGAGAACAGCAGACGAGCAGAGCAGGGAGGCTGTCGGCCGGCAGGGCGGGAGTCTCTGTCAACTACAGACCCCCCCCCCCCCCCCTCTCTATTCAACTTAGACTCAGTCCTCGGTGAGTGAACATTAAGGTGACTTGGTCGTGTTTACATATGTTGTGTGATGATCAGGGGCAGTCAAGTTGTAGGGTTCTCGAATTCTTGGATGATGACTCACTTTGCATATTAAACTGGAACATTTTAATTTAATTGCTAAATTATGATACTTCATGGGAAATATAATTATGAATTTATTATTTAAATTGTGTTTAACTTTGTTCCCTAGAGATTTGAGTTGAGGTGAGAAAGCCTCTGTGGTTACTGGTTTCATGGTTTAGAATGAGTACATGATAAAGATGGGAACTACTAATAATGATCTCATGATAACATCTTTGGTGAATATTGTGATACAGACAAGTTCCATTCCTTGTCTTGTATGTAATGATCATGAATGGATGGTGGCAGCATTTCGTCTTCTACTATCTACTCTTCTACTTCTACTATCTACTCTTCTACTTTTACTTATCTACGTCTCTCCCTCCACCCCTCTCTAAACTCTCACTTTCAACTAATGACCCTCCTCGCTCCTCCCACCTCTCTGCCTCTCACCCCAAACCCTCACTAATTACTTCACATTTCATTTCTTTCCTCTCGTTTTCTCTTATACGTTTGTGGCAATGATTTCGGTATTCTAGAGTTCTCTCTAGAGTTTCGGGTAACTGATCAAGTGACGGCGCCTTGTAGTCTTAGCACCTAGGTAGTCAAATACCTAGGTTACAAGGTGTTGAACGAGAGAGGTTGCCTTAGGAACTCTGGGAGTGCTCTAGAATAGTTAGCTAACTGAGGACGGGATAACGGACTAGAGAGAGCTGTTTCCCCCGGCCTCGTTAGTTAACTGGGGGGTGGAATAATGGACAAGATAGAGCTATTTCCCCCACCCCCCGTTACACTGCTACCATCTGTTAAATAACTCATTATCCATTTATTTATACCCGTATCAGCCTGTTGTCTGCCTCTATCCATATAAGAGCATATATCTACTATCTCTTACACTTCCCCCTTTGTGCTATCTTGGCTGACTCATATTTCTGTAAACATTTAATCGCAGCCACAACATTACTCAAGCTTCTAACCCTCCGCTCTCAAATGTGCTATTTCACATTTCATCATCAGTTCTTGTCTTTTTGCTTTCGTTTTTTTTTTCATCAATGTACATCATCATCTCCCACTGCCCTTCTACATCGTGATTTGTAAATCAATTATCACAATCGTCTTGAGAATGGTCCAGGACGGACCGAAACATCATCGTCTCCTCATTTTCTGATGTGTGATTTGGGTCTTCATATCTTAAGCCACGTTATTGTGGCTCATCGTCTGCACATATTGCATAGCTTGATTATTTGAACATATATAATGTACAATATTTATGCTTCATGGTAGAGTTTTTCCATAATAAACATTCTCCACAGTTTAAAATAACACTGTTTTCTGTTATCTAACAGAATTTAATTATGTTATCTGTTATTTTCAGTTGACTAAGATAAAGCATCTGTTTTATTTTTATAACTTCATATTTTTGGTTTTGTGCAAATGAGTCGCAAAAATGCAAATGTTTATTTGGTCAATTAATTTATAAACTTATGGTTCCTAAACAGCAACTCCAACTACAACAGCAGCTACTAATACAACAGCAGAGACAACAACAGCAGCAACAGCAACAACAGCAGCAGCAGCAGCAGCAGCAGTATCAACAACACCAGCACCAGCAGCACCAGCAGCAGCACCAGCAGCAGCAACAGCAGCAGCAGCAACAGCAGCAGCAGCAGCAGTATCAACAACACCAGCAGCAGCACCAGCAGCACCAGCAGCAGCAACAGCAGCAGCAACAGCAGCATTATAATAAACAAATGAGAGAGGAACCAGACAGCGTAGCGAAGACAGGCAGGACGCCGCCACAGGCTCCAGTACGCTACAGTCTCGTGTCTCCAGTCAAGGAAGAGAGCGACTGTTAAAGCATTGGGACTGGGACGCGATTTGGGTGGTCATCAGTGACGGAACCAGTGGTCAGCTGTAATTGTTATAGTTGTCATTGATGACGGGTCTGTGGTTATCAGTGACGAACCAGTTGTCATTAATAACTGGCCAGTATAGTCACCTGTGACTGGTCAGAGACCTCAGCGAACAGTCGCAGTTAAGTAACCATAAAACTGTGAAGTCAGAAACGAATTTTCAATCGATTTAAGGGGCCCTCAAATTCTGAATTTACGAATGTAATAGGCTCTAACCGACCTTCGACTTACTCTAAGTATATTTAGGCCCTAAAAATAATAAATTCATCCCTGATAATTTTTAATATTTGACACAAACACTTGAATAGTGTTGCAGTTTTAGTCAATGAGGCAGTTACTGATGACCTGTGTGTATCTGTAAATATTCTGAATGCCACAAAAAAATTAAATACGCATAAGTTGATTAATTTATTCACATACAATATAATGTACAAACGTGTCAACTGTAAGTTAAGGAGAAATTAAATAAAATTTTAACAATTTAAAATTATATATATATATATATATATATATATATATATATATATATATATATATATATATATATATATATATATATATATATATATATATATATATATATATATATATATAATATAGACAGGATGGTAATGAAGGTAAAATTCCTGCTTAATTTTAACCTACTTTTTTATCAATCACATATACTGTATTCTAAAATAATAGGAAGATTATATGATATTTGAGTCAAGTATTTTTCGCAACACTATGCTCATCTTTGTTCTGCAAAAGTATTATGCCCATAATTATGCAAGAAAAATGCATAAATGTTTGTCCTTCATATGTATTTTCAATACATATATGTTGTAATTTTTCTAGCCAAAGAATCCAAATATCTTTTTATAACTTTTTTCTTCAAGTTTTCTAGCTCATAAGTGGGTAAGTATATAAAGTCTACTAGCTTCAGTTAAGTATTGAGGTTCACTATTGAACTCAAATATTGGGGTTCGCTTTCTGAGCCATTATGTACCTTTGTAATACGTTTTCAAAGGCTAAACGTTAGCAAATGATAAACGTGCAATCAACAGCCTAACATTACCAATTTCTGTAATTAAAACATTTTGTGCCCAAACAGTTGAGTCGAATGCGAGGAAAAAGGATGGATAAATACCTTCTTTTATTATTAACATAATGCACGTATTTCATCTGTATATATTAGCTTCCCTAGACCATACAAAGGGGTGTATAGAGGTTATAAGGAAATACTAATATAATCCCCATTTCATAGGATATTTAGTCATGCACGGGTATATGATCAGTATAGCTTATACTGGCAAAATTGTATATCGTTAAAATATTCACACACTTAACTGAAGCTTTGTTATGGCATATTTGATAAATTTGTAAATGTTGGTGTTAAAGATTCGCTACTTGGAACAAAAAGTTTAAGTAGCACAGGCTACGGTGAGCCGTACTCAAATTTGTAAATGATCTGATGCATTAATATAAGAAAATGAAGTGTTAACATTTATTTTTACGCATTTGTTATATAAGCATTTATTCCAAAGTTATTATAGTTCATAATATATGAAAAAGATAATATAATATTATATTTCATTATTTATACTTAAATATATGTATATTTTAAATGTATATAACTGCTAATTATTGTAGTAAATATATTTGCTTTGTAAATATAATGCAATATATTTCGTGAATAGGACATTGTCCTGTAGTATTGTTGTAGTATTGTATTAAGCCTTCCTGACGAAGTCTTATGACCTATATAAGCTTTAACTATTCCTCTAAGTGTAGTGAAGTTTATGACAATAAATAAATACCTGATTTGTGATTGTTTATATCCTCTATTAGTTTGCGCAAGAATATATATTTATAGTGTACAGAAACATACAAGGTTGAATATTATATTATACATGAATTGTAACATAAATCGTGTAACCAGCTTATAAAAAATGTAACTTATTTAGCCAAAATACTGGTTGGAGTTCAGTTTGGTTTATTATGTGCCTCTGTGACCTCTCTCGCTGCCTTCCTCAGGATGTGTATGGGGTGCATAATAAATTATCTAAAAGTTAAACCAACTTGACCAAATTACATGAGAACTATTTCAGTTTTCAAATGTTAGACCTTGAGCGGTATGAGCTTTTATGTACAGTATACAATATTTAGAAATTATTGGAGTGAGAAGTGTACAGAATTTCTAGTAAGACATCACGACAGAAAACGTCACAAATATTGTCTGTGTCTAAATGCTGATTTGGGAGTATTCAGTGTTTATTTAGGAAATAGCAGTCGAAGACAGGCCTTTACTGCTGTGGCAAGGCAGCCCGTCCTCGTAAACAAAGGCCATTCCATCTACCCGCCAAACCCGCTGTTTATGAATGAAAAGCAGTTTACACACGACTCACCAACCCGTCCTCGACTCAAGTCCATTACATCCAGCGGTCAACCCCACAGACGCATTCATAAATTTTAACATGCTGTTCATTCAAAACGGGAATTTTCGCAAGTATAAATTAATATTATAATATATTAGCATATTGTGTATATATAGGCATAGGATAGGTTAGGTTAGGTGTTTAGGTTCTGTTGGCGATTATTTGTATTTGTAGTACGTGGGTGAAGCATTTATAGCGTTGTGATTCGAACAAAATTCGTCAGTGAAGCACTTGTTCCGGATATGTTCGAACGTCAGCAGTTGTGAGTCGTGTGTAAACCGCTTTTCATTCATAAACAGGGGGTTTGGCGGGTGCATGGAATCACTTTTGGATCTTTGTTTGGAGGACGGGCTGGACAATTGATGACGTCCGAACACTTCCGGAACAAGTGCTTCGCTCACGTCCTCTGTTCGAACCACAATTCTATAAACAGCCCGTCCTCCAAACAAAGATCCAAAAGTGATTCCATGCAGCCGCCAAACCCCCTGTTTATGAATGAAAAGCGGTTTACACACGACTCACAACTGCTGACGTTCGAACATATCCGGAACAAGTGCTTCATTGACGAATTTTGTTCGAATCACAACGCTATAAATGCTTCACCCACGTACTACAAATACAAATAATCGTCAACAGAACCTAAACACCTGACCTAACCTATCCTATACCTATATATACACAATATGCCAATATATTATAATATTAATTTATACTTGAGAAAATTCCCGTTTTGAATGAACAGCATGTTAAAATTTATGAATGCGTCTGTGGGGTTGACCGCTGGATGTAATGGACTTGAGTCGAGGACGGGTTGTCGAATCACAACGCTATAAATGCTTCACCCACGTACTTCAAATACAAATAATTACCAACAGAATACCTAAACACCTAACCTAACCTACGCCAAACTATACATACAATTTTTATGTATGAGAATATTCATTTTAGATATGAAAACAAATCAATGTTTAATACACAGTATGTTAAAGTTGATGAATGTGTCTGGGGAGGACGGCCGCTGCTTTAAACAGCCTAGTGTGAGAACGAGTTGTCTTGTCAGCTCCAATTCATCATTCGGTATTTCTTGTCCAGTGTCGAGTGTTTAAGACGTTTTGGGAGAGTTGTGAATGCTTATTCTCCGTGGATTTGGCATGGGTTCGTATCCTGGCCGGGGAGGATTTACTGGGCGCAAATCCTTAACTGTAGCCTTTGTTTAACGCAACAGTAAAATGTGTACTTGGTTGTAACAACGATTCTTCGCGGCAGGGGATGGTATTCCAGGGACCTGCCCGAAACGCTACGCGTACTAGTGGCTCTACAAGAATGTAACAACTCTTCTATATATCTCCATCTAGAATGTTGCACAATATATCCTGATGGAAGTTCACAAGTTTGTGTATGCGAGCTTGTCGCAGGAGACGTCGTGACGCCCACACGCCTGTCTGGCCTCGCTAGACCAGGCCTCGCCCTCCTGGAGAAGGTAAGCTGTTCCTCGAGCCTCAAGTCCCACCTTCACCTGAGCTGCTAATGTATATATAGATTAATTCATATAGTTATTGTATTATATTTCAGGATTTAATATTAAGGCAATTCACAAAATGTTAATAATTCACCGTCTTATCATTAATGGTAAATAGAAACTGCTGCTCGAGTGAAAAATTCTTCTAACTATAAGGTTCGATTAAATTTCCTTGCTTCCATATATTTTTCATATAAATGTCATTAAAACGTTCACAATAACACATTTTTGGGAAATATAAAAACCCTTTACTGATCACAGGGGCATTAGCGCCCTCTACCATGGTCTTGGGGACACAAGAGCGACATACAACTAGCTTCCACAAATTTTAGATTGGAACAATGAGTTGGACTAATTCAGATAATACTTTGGTTCCCCATTAAACTGACTTGTACGTTTTCTATTGTGGCACGTTCTCTAAAAAGAAGCCTTAACTAACCTAATATAGCAATAAAGATATAGTCAAAGCCTATTTTATTAATAATATATTTTTAAATTTATATATACAAGAGTCCTTACATACGTGTACAGCCACTAGCACGCATAGCGTTTCGGGCAGGTCCTTAATCCTAATTTTCCAAGGAATACGACCCGCCAAATCGTTTAACAACCAGGTACCCATTCACTGTTGGGTGAACGGAACGGAACTATCAGGGTAAATAAAGCGTTGTTGTTTTAGATTCAGCAACTCGGAACAAAAATTTCTAAGTAGCGCGGGT